CCCCAAAACCCCAAAACCCCGTGAAGTTAAGTAAAGACTTGATAAGGTAGATTATGGTTAGTAATAAATTAACATCTAGTTAATTACTAATAATTGAAGCACCTAGAAATAACACCTCGGGATTATATTGTTCAAAGTAGACACCCTCAATATAATTATTTATAGTTTTACCAGCAACAATTACTCACATGGTCAAAAAGACCTCATCAAGAGCCTAAACTGGTGCAGCTGTCACTGGCTATGTCCATAATGATGATTACCTAGATGAGATTATCGGGGATGAAAGTATAAAAGAACCCAGAAAGACTAAGGTAGTCAAAAAGACTAACTCTGACTCAGAAGACGAGTCAATTTTCTTGGTGGAGAAGATCCTTCAAAAGAAGAAAGAGGGAAAGAAAGTGTATTATCTGGTGAAATGGGAAGGATATGGTGATGACTAGAATACCTGGGAACCAGTTTGCAATCTTAAAAATGTTAAGAATTTGGTGCATGAATTCGAGCGCTAGTATGAAATGATGAACAATAATAACTTAGGTGGGAGCACTTGCATTTCATCCAATCTCAATGCATAGTCTACTCTGTCTATTGGGAGTTAGACAGAGTAAAGTAAACTGCCTTCTCAGATACAAGCATCTAGTATGTAGTCAAGTCTCGCATCATTAAGTAATTAAGCTAAAATTTAGTCATCTAATCTTGGTTTGAGTCTGAACTCGAAAGTCATTAAAAAGTAGATGAAGATTAATGATCCGAATAACCCAACCGGAACATCGAATGTCACCTAAAAATGTTCTATTAAAAAGAATGTGATAAAAAGAGGTCGTCCTAAAAATATAGTGGCCTCTTAAATTCAGGCCTCAGTTTCATCCTAATAATAAACAATGTAAATTGACTAACAAAATCAAAATTTTACAAAGCCAGATGAAATCGACAAGGAGATGCAAGAATATCTATTGAAAATACAGTAGGAAAAAGAACTGCTTTTACAAAGACAACTCAAGATATAATAAGAGGAACTTTAGATGGTCTAGTAATTTAAAAAGAAGCAAGAGGAGGAAAGAGAGAAATAGCGTTTACTATAGTAGTAAAAAGAAGAGGAAGAGAGGAAAAATGCGATTTAATAATAGCAGTTATTACTTTAACAGTAGTAAGAAGAATTAAAAGCTTAGTAACTTGCTCAATAATAAGAACTTATTCAATAGTAATAGTAGCAGCTACTATAGCAATAAAAAAACTAGCAATTGCAATAATAATAATAGTCAAATTAAATATAATAGATACAGATTCAATAGTAATAGTAGTAAAAAGAAACCCAACACCAGTCATCAATTTAGAAAAAGTCTGTGAAATAGCTTTTTTCATAGAGAAAAAATGTCAGAAATGAAATTAGCAATTCGGCATTTGAGTAAGAAATACAAAATAACTAGTAAAATTTGCAAACCCCTTAATAAAGCAAAGTTGTCGAAAATTCAGTGTAAAACCCATCAAAGAAATTACTAAAAAAGCGTCCTGCTAAGAAAATAGGTACTTCATTATCAGCCATGCTACCCACAATTCAATAGTAAGATTTTATAACTACCAGTCTTACCCAATAGTAAATATAACATCAGTAGTAATATTAGTAGCAATAATAAAATATACCATAGCATTCAGATTATGTAATGAATCATGGTAAAGATTTCTATGAGGTTAATGGAAGCTTTGAAACAGACATACCTGAAAAAGTAATTGGAGGTAAAATGTCATCGAATAATATCTAAGTCACTATTGAATGGAAAGTGAGGAGTGATGGCTATAAGCCAATGGAAACAATCTATACTAATAAAGAGTTAAGAAATAAATACCCAGAACTGCTAATAGATTTCTATGAGAGTAGGATAAATGCTAAGCATCGGATTTCTGTGCATCAAAACCCTCTGCAACTCTCAGAACATTGTAGTAATCCTCAGCCAAGCAGCAGCAACAGTAACAGTGGTAATCCACAATGAGAGTAAATTATAATTAGCTGGTAATGTCTGCTTAATTTTGGAATCCTTAATGAACTAATAATGAGTGAGAGTATGCTTTAATTGTATATGACTTAGACTATATAAATAACTCTTAAATTTAAATATCTTTGGAGAAATTTTCTGCATTAAGAACTTTGATTTAACTAACTTCTTAATAATATATCTAGATTTAGTATATATATAAATTATTGTATTTTTAATATATTACAGTAAACTTAAAAATGTTTAAAAAACTTGTGGCTAAGACACTCCAAAGACACACTTAGGTTATTATTCCATTTAGAAATAACCATTTTGGTTCAAGAATGCCACAACCCATGATTTCTAGTCATAGATTAAGGTTTTTCAGTGCTTAAAACCAAAATCAAGGCAAAGACGAGATAATGAGAGTTTTGAGAGAACTTAAAGATGAGTAAGGAAAACCTATCGAAGAATTTAAGGTCTTTCACTCATTGGAAATTGGACCCGAACCTGGAGTAGTCAATATTAAATTGAATCTGACTTAGGATTATAGAAAGGCAAAGCAACTTATCCAAGATAAATTAAAGAGTGTTGATTGGGTCACTAAGGTTAATGTACAAATGGCACCGTAGGCTTAGACGGCTAAACCAACACATTAGGGCAAAAAAGGATTATAAGGAGTGAAAAATATCATTGCAGTAAGCAGTTGCAAAGGAGGTGTTGGAAAGTCTACAGTGGCAGTAAATTTAGCATTCTCAATGTATAAACTTGGGTTAAGAGTGGGTATCTTTGATGCAGATCTATATGGACCAAGTCTTCCAACTATGATTAGTCCTGATATCGCTTAGCTTTATGCTGATGAGACTGATCCTAGTTTAATTGCACCTATAGAATTCAATGGGGTTAAAGCTATGAGCTATGGATTTGCAAGTCAAGGCAAGTCTGCTATAATGAGAGGTCCAATTGCATCAAATCTAGTCTCTCAATTGATAGGAAATACCAACTGGGGTGACATGGATTATCTTGTTATTGATTTCCCACCAGGCACAGGTGATATATAGATCACTCTAGGTTAAGAAATTACCATAAAAGGTGCAGTTATAGTAACAACTCCACAAAAGTTAAGCTATGTAGATGTTGTAAAAGGCATTGAAATGTTTGATTCACTTAAAGTACCTACTATCTCAGTAGTAGAAAATATGTCCTACTACAAATGCACAAACTGCGAGACAAAGCATAAAATCTATGGTCTTGGCTATACAAACCAATTAAAAACTAACTTTGGAATAAAAAATTCTTTCGAGATCCCTATTATGGAGGAAATATCATAAATGAGTGACTAGGGCACACCTTTCGTTTTAACTCTGCCAGATAGCTTAGAACTTGTGCAAACATACAATCAAATAGCTAGATAGGTCGTAAATGAGGTAGACACTTTGAATAAAGGATACTAGGCACCTAATGTTGTTTACGATCCAACAAAAGGAAGTATAATTGTCAATCATTCTGGAGATAAAGTGAAGCACGTAGATCCATATGAATTGAGAATCAAATGTAAGTGCGCTGGATGTATAGATGAAATAGATGGAAGGCAAATATTGAAGATCGATAAAGTCCCCAAAGATGTCTATCCAACAAATATTGTACAGAAAGGAAATTACGCAGTAGCCATGGTCTGGTCAGATGGCCATAAGTCCTCTATTTATCCCTTCGAAAGAATTTTATCCTCAGATATAGCGGAGAAGAAGATTTGATAAGTTAAGAGTCTTTCATAGATATTTACAATCAATATAATTTGAGTTAAGTATGTTAAAGTGTTTAATTTAATATTGTTGCTGATCTTTCAAGCATTTATTTTTAATGTATTTAAATAAACGCATTAGTCTAATCATCATTCTCTGTTTCCTTACATTATTCGATGAGCATTCTCAATCCTCTTCGTGAATGCCAAGTGAAAGTGGATAAACAGATTTACTATAAAGTACTGAAGTAGATTCTAACTTGATTCTATCACTGACTGGTGTCTTAAACGATCTTTTCTCTGTTCCGTATTCATCATCGCTATCTTCACCAACTGAAGAAATGCTTGCTACCTTCCTTCTTGATCTCATTACTGATTCATCATCGCTTTATTTTGATAGTAATGGGCCGATTTAATCGTTGTCTAGGATATCAAGAGCGGCACCTCCTTGAGAAAGTTGATTCTTGGTTTAATTAGTCGCCTTTTGCTTTTTCTCCAAAGCTCTCATTTTAATAAGTAGAAGTCCAAGAAGTGCACTTGAAGCAACTGCTGAAATTTGAAGGGATAGCATTCCTGCTCTACTTTCTCCACTACCATCAAGTTGATAGATGAGACCGTAAATATAGGGAGCTGGTAAATAGCCTAAGAGATTATAAACCAGGTTAGCTATTGAATTAGCAATAGTTCTTAACGAAGCTGGACAAGTATTGAGCAATATACCTGTGAGTACGGGCATGCAAAAGCCTCCAAAGAAGAATTATCCCCATAGCAAAAATGAGACTAAGTAGAAATTAGTGACAAAGACTAATGGGAAGCCGCATGAAGCTCCTAAGCACATCACAAAAACTGCAAGTGGATAAGCTTAAGGGCTATTATACCCACCGATTGAATTGAAAATGTAACCACCAACAATAACTCCTAAAATTGGACCAGATATACAGATTATTGTAAATGTAATGAAAGCCTTATTCTTAGTCTGCCCGAGGACATTCATAAAATAGTCAGTGATCCAGAATTAAATTCCAGTAGTAACAAAGTAGACCCCAGTCATTGCGAGCAGAAGAAGCATGAAGTTGAAGTTAGTCAAGAGATACATTATTTTTTATTTAAGTGTGTAATTTTCCACCATTTTTTATGCTTTTCTTAATTCTCTCTGTTGCTTTTTTCTATACTTTTAGGTCTCTATTGAATTAGCACGTCCTCTAGTTGGCATTCCTTGGAGCTAATAGTCTGCCCTGCTATGATTTCTGATCTGGTGCTAAATCTTTAATCTATTGTTGTAATCTGAATTCTTCTCAAGATTACTCTTGTCTACATTAGGATCTCTCATTGAATCGATCCCATCTCTTCTATTATTTGCCATTAAGTTTCTGTATCTTGAATCAATTTGAGTCTTAGTTTAGGTAAAGCTTTAATCTTCTGTTTTTGTCTTGTTTAATGCAAATGATGGCGAATCAGGATCCCTATTTTAGCTTTGCTGAGACTGGGCTATGTTAATATTGGATGAACCCCTTCTATGAAAGGATGTCCCTTTGTTCTTGGACTCGAACCCACTTAAGTTGTAGAAATTCATACTTTCAGTTCTCTTACTCGTCGTATCATTGTCTGTGATGTTCGCATATCCTGAAAAGACTATGAATTTAGATGGAGTTAGCATAAAGCACATGGCCAGAGGAACAATAAACCCACTTTAAATATAGAATACCAATCTCCACTTTAAGCAAATTAATAATTCATAGTAAAGTTACATCAGAGTACATAACGATTATTGCAGTTGACAAGTAGCCAATGATAATACCTAAGGGCACACCAAGAAGCAAAAGTGTAAGCCATACTGTTTTTCTTTTTTCATCAGCAAATAAATCGACCCAGACAGGGAAATATATGCAGAAAAACACCTATAGAGAATTAAGCAATTGTATATTTTATTCATTTTGAAGTCTTACTTAGAAAAATCCAACACTGACTCTTGAAATGACAAGCATAGAGTACTTGTCAGTCAAAGTAAATAATAAAAGGGCAAATGAGTTAAGTAATAAGCAGACTATCAAAACAAACTTGGTGTTGCCATAATTAAAAATCGGCATTGCGAACAAAGATCCTAAACATCAACTATAAAAAGCTCTAGATTATTACCAATAACTAGTCCAGCATAGACTAGTGATCCTAGCAGACCAAGATTCGCGTCATCAAGGTGTAGATCCTTCTTTACCTCCTTGGTACATGCTGGAAGGATTCCGTGATCCACATTTATCATTAAATTTGTCAAGAAAATAACGCCGAATATGAAATTCAATGTTTTCTGGTTCTCTGCTTGATTTGTGGCTTGTCTCACAAGTGGCTTACTTAGATCATTATCAAAAGCTGGTGCTTGCTGAGCAGATTCCTCATACTCTTAAAGCATGGGAGAATTTTCATAGTTACCCTATTTCTGATAATGCATTAAATGATTTATAATTATCTATATTCACTTTAAAATTTAGATCTACACTGACGGGGTTTTGGGGTTTTGGGG